CTCTCTGAAAATTAACTATCATCTACATCTGTCTGTTGGGAAAGCAAGTACCTTTCCTGCTGCCATACGTAATTACAGAGGTGGTGTTTTTGGAGGGAATGGGTGTATGTGTGCGAGCTGAAATGAAAACAACCTGAGTTTGATAACTCTGCTGATAACGTTAAATCTTGGCTGCATTAAGATCAAATTATGAGCAGATCAGAAGACAGCTATTCCTCTGTGGGAGGGATTGTCTCATGGTTGCAGGCTAGCCTGGGACACTTGTCTCCCACTAGGCTGTCTGTTTAATCTCTGCCAGGTCATTTTATCTCTTTGGTGACATAAACTGCTCAGCACTGTTTCAGACTCTTAGTTGGGAGTTCACCCTGGATCTCACAGTAGGTTGGGTTTTACTTTTTCTGCCATGTTCTGGTTTTCTTGGAAATTAAACTGATGTGGGATCAGATAGGAAACATGAGAGCTCCAGCCAGGTCCTTCCTGCAGTGAGGAAGCTGAGGGGGCAGGACCTCAGCAAATGTGTCTCCAAGTCTGTTTTTTGTATCTGCTCCTCATCTGTAAAACAGGGGTAACAGCAATACCAACTCCAAAAGTTGCATGACAAGGAGAAGGCATTAAGGATAGCTTGGCTTGGTAGATCAATGATGACAAGAATTTTTGGTTAGTTAGTTCAGACTGTTTTATTAGCTGGGAAAAATAAGACCGTAACATGAGAGTGTCTGTCTTCCTAGAGCCTAACAACAGACACCTACAGAAGACTGTATGAAAGGTGCAAGCAAATAAGACACCTCCTCACTCTCCTATCCTCCAGCAGTTTGCAGCTCAGGGCCTTCCTGGCACAAAGACATTCTCTTGTACTGAGGAGCACTTTGTGATTTTTTTTTCTGTGCTTTACCCAGTTTTAGGACCCATGCACACTGAAGAATTGATGATACCATGAGCAGTGGAGGCCCAAGAGCAAACGGGTTTATGTTAGCAGTAGCAAAGAAACTAATGTAGATCCCTGCTTGTGTTTTCAGTTGTTTCCAGAAGGGCCAGGGACATTTTTTTTAAAAAAACAAGCAATAAGCGGCCTCTTGGTCTCTACTCGGGAAGATGCAACAATGTGACACTAACCAAACATTTGAGAAGTGTTACATTGGAAACATTCCTCTCTCAGGACAAAAAACATTCACTTTCAATACCTGGTCTCAAGAGATGAAGTCTTGTACCTCAACAGTTCTCCCAGCTTGACAGATCTGTACTGTAACATGCACATCTTCAAAAATTCACTGTGATGGCACTTGAGATGCCTTTTAGTCTTGAGTTCTTAATGATTGAATTACTTTCTTGTAGCCTTTATTTTTCTGTCAGTCTGCCTGGATTTGTAAGGAACAAAATTATATTACACCAGCCTAATCTTCTCAAACAAGGTTGCAAGGGTGTGTGGCTGGAGCAGAAGCTATCAATACCAAATATCCAGACTAGTAAGGTCTTTTTTATTTTTTTTTTGCTTATTTCCTGAAGGCAAAGTAGAGGTGTGTAGAATAGATGGGTTTGTTCTAAGTATTTTACAGGGGCCATTTGCAGTCTGCACCCAGAGAATGACTTTTGTGATCTCCTTGGCCTGTGAAAGGTGACATGAAAAGGAGGCAAGGTGTGCCTGATCTTGGACACTGTTTCGTTAGTGATCCAAATGGCATAATTTTACTGGGTCTGTCTGGGATGGAGTTAACTTTCTTCACAGCCACCCATACCCTACTGTGTTTTAGATTTGTGACTAAAGCAGTGTTAGTGACACAATGGTGTTTTGGCTGTTGATGAGGCAGACTTGCACAGTGTGAAGGCTTTCTTGTTTTCCCCATTTTGTTGCCCAGGCAGCTGGGTCTAGGGTAGGCAAGAAGGTAGCAGGAGACACAGTAGTGGCAGCCAACCCAGACTAACCAAGAGGATACTCCCTGCCCTGTGACATCATGCTTAGCAATAAAAACTGAAGGAAGAGATTTTTGGGAGGAGGTGGGCGCTGGACAGACACTGTCTGGGCATTGGTCTACTTGTGGGAGGTGATGAGTGACTTCCTTTCCAACACTTGTCAGTTGGGTTTCTTTTTCCTCTTCCTTTCAGACTGTCCTTGTCTTGACTCATGGGTTTTGTCACTTTTGCCCTTCCTATTCCCTTCCCCATCCCTCTGGGGTAGGGAGTGTGCAGGTGGCTGTGAGGTGTGTAGGTGCTGACGAGGGTCAACCACCACAATAACAGAGAATAAGATTATGAAATTAGCAGAAACCAGAAAGTTTGGTGACATTAAAAGCATGCATGAATATAATTTATGTCTCCATGGTAGCTGCAGATAGATTATATATTTTCTTTCAGCACTATGAAATGTCCTTGGTTAAATGAAGAAGTAAGACTTTAATGACATGAAGAATTATATCTCTTTCCTCAGCTATCCTAGGCTATAAAGAGCTGTCTTATTTGAGTTAGGCTCAGCTATATCTTTATATATGCTTTTGCTGTGGGTGAAGAGCACGTGCAGACAGTGAGAGTGGCTCAGCTGACATGTGATGACTTTGGCTGTTTCTGGCTCTCTCTGTTGGGTCACACTGCCTCCTTGCATTCATCCCATGCTATGAGTTATCCCTGATATTTGAACAGTCTTGCAGGAAGAGAATAGTCCACTACCACTGCAGGCTGGATCCACAGTCAAAATTGATGTAGCTCTCCTGATATGGCTGGATGAAGAGCTGACCCATTATCTATAACATTTCCCACCTGCCTTGTGGAGTAACACACCACAGCACCACAGGGATGCAGTGTTTCTGGGATACTGTTTCGCTCCTGCAACTCCAGGGGATGTTTAATTCAGCACGGGTTTTACAACTGTTAGCTGCAGTTATGGCAATTTCCTTTGCAGATTAAGGAAAGATGCCATAACATCTTTCTGACTGACTGGGTGTCACTGCTGTGTTGTGACAGGCTGTCCTCTAAGAAGAAATGATTGATGGCGTGTATAAAACTGAGCCATTATATGTGCTGTTTTTATTGAAACAGTGCCTAAATTGTGGGCTGTCAGTCAAAGCACTGATTACTTACACAGTGCTATCAGAAGTGGTGGTGGGTGCAGTGAACAAGGCAGGAGAATAAATGTTTGGTTTGGAGCTTCAAACAGCGTTGTCTGTTACCAGCTTGTATCTAGCCATAATAAAGGGATCCCTCCTCTACATTGCCTAAAGCATGAGGCTTCACTGCAGGCTGCTAGGAGCTCTTTAATACTGACATCAGTATTAAAATGAGTTTCTGAAACAGGCTGAAGACCTTTCCTTTTTCCCCTTGAGAACAGTTCAAGTGGATCTCAGTGCTCTGAGACAGCATTTTTTGTGGCTGAAGAAGCCTCCAAAGGCCTCAGCTGCAGACTCCCACTTCTCTGTGCTTTGTAGACAGTTTGAGGACGCGTTCAACAGGTTTCAGTGAGTGCTGTGGATACAGTGTGTGCCTCACGATGAAGATACAGACCCTGGTCCCCGGGGATATAAATTCAGCCCTGTTTCTGACCTGCTGACAAGTCCTGCATCATGTTACTGCCCGTGCCTGTGCCTGTGGTGTGGAGTTGATGGGATGAACTCTTCAGAGTCACTCTGTGGACGGGTGGAAGGAGAAGCTGCCAAGCTGTGCATCGATGTTTCTGCACTGCATGAAGCGCTGCTGGTGGGCTGGGAAAGGAGACTGATTGATAGAGGACACACCCTCCTTTCCCGACTGCCTCCCCTGTTAGCAGGCTTGCAGGCAGAGTGGGCACAAGGAACAAGCACTGATGCAAAGCATAGATCGCTCCATGGCCCAACAGGAGCCTGAATGACAGAGAGGCAGTGGGAACTTACCTGGTCTTATACCACCTGCGGTGTGTCTGTTGGGTGGGAAACACCTGACAAAGGTTACTATGGCACCGCTGAAAGGTCACCAAAATTTATGCGTTTTACAATGAGACAGAACAAAAAACCCTTGCTTTTTTCCTCTTTTCTGCCTATTAAGTGGAAGAGATAAAAAAGAATGTTCCATTTGCAGTTACAGAGAATAGTCAAATAGTTTAAATTTTCCTTCTTTGCATTTGCTCTTAGTTTTCTAAACCCATTAAGGTTTGTCACATTAATGACAGTTTCACCCAGGTGCTTGTAAGCAATATCCTTGTACAGACAGAGTTTGCATATGCCAAGAAAACAGTCCTTAAGTACACACATCACTTACATGTAAAAAGCTTTTTCTTTTTATGCCTATAATCAGCCTGAAAATGAGCTGTCAGCAACAACCATAGTAGTGGCAGCGCCTGGTTGTAACAACCTTTAAGTATAGCCTTATGAAGTAATACAGAGTTGTTTACAGAATTTGATTCTTCTGCAAAATGAAAATAAATAGTCAAGATTGTATTTCCATTGTCAAAGTACAGCTTGATTGTGTAGAGAGACTGTATAATCATGTTTTTCTTCCATTTCTTCTGACGTGAACATATTAAGTGAGTTTTTTTTTTTTTATTCTTGTACGTCTGTAAATTACAAGTTGCTGTGTAGTAGTTTTACCCACCAAATCCTTTGTTAGAATGTGCTGCATTATTTTGTACTGTACACATTTCAAAATGTGTGTGATTAAAGATAGTTTAAACTGTCATAAATATTATGCTGTAGTTATTTTTTGTAGAGAAAAAAAAATGGAACCAGTACAACCTCTGGCTTCACAAATGAAGCAATTAAGAATGGGTTTATTACTTGGTTGACTTGGTATGACTTAGTTGGATCATCAAGTCCAACCATTAACCTAACTCTAACAAGTCCACTGCCCAGCTGTGTCCCTAAAAACTTTGCAAAATCAAAGTTGGCTTTTCAGTCGTGTAAGAGGTGTGCAATGATGTTTTCCAGCGCTATTTGTGAAATTGACTTTGTTTCCTTTTTAAGGAAATTAATTTGGGGGAAAAGTGCATCTCACAAACTCACTGCTTCTGCTTTCTTCTGACTTTTCCCTTCTCCCTATTCCAGACCAGGATGAGAGAGCAGCGGAGCTCAGCAGGGAGCAGAACGAGAAGACCATTCGCAGCACGCAGACAGCCCTCCGCAATTTCCGCGAGTTCCTCATCTCCAAGTACCCCTCTGAGACTCGGGAGATCTACGTCATCCCGTGCAAAGAGCTTGATGCCTACCTTGCTTCCTTCTTTGTGGATGCCAGACAAAAGGATGGGTCGGAATATGAGCCAAACAGCCTGGCCAACTATCAGTGCGGGCTGGAGCGGTATCTCAAAGAGCACAGGTATGGATACAGTATCACAAGGGATAAGGAGTTCAAGAGGTCCCAGGAAGCTCTAAAGCAAAAGCAGATAGAGCTGAGGTGTAAAGGAAAAGGGAACAAGCCGCACAAATCCATGAAGCTCACCTTTGCTGATGAGCTTATGAGCCAAACAGCCTGGCCAACTATCAGTGCGGGCTGGAGCGGTATCTCAAAGAGCACAGGTATGGATACAGTATCACAAGGGATAAGGAGTTCAAGAGGTCCCAGGAAGCTCTAAAGCAAAAGCAGATAGAGCTGAGGTGTAAAGGAAAAGGGAACAAGCCGCACAAATCCATGAAGCTCACCTTTGCTGATGAGCTTATCC